CAATTGTTACGTTTTGGGACTATGAAAGTGTGATATGGACGGAAATACAATGATAATAAAATTAATATGGTAATTTGCATGAAAACATGAATTTGCATTACATAGTGACTCCTAGCTTTGGTATCCCAAATTCAATGCTAAAAATATGAATTCACACCTAATAATAATAAGCATTAAGCTCATAGTGACTTAGATCCAGAATCACATATACAAAGGTTAAGTTAAGTTAGGTACATACCGTATAATACTTTGCTGATGATAAGCTGATAACATGATTTAAATATTTAAACAGTACAAGAAAGGTATTAAACCCTTATTGAATCTAAGGAATGATATCTTATGTCACATTTCATAGACATGCACAGCAATACAAATGTAACAATGTGTCACATCTTAAATTCTTTATATAGTCCACACAGTCAGGCAAAACCTGACTCCAGATATAAGGAAGAGTACGACCTCATTCAAAGGAATGGATTTATAAATATGGAATTTCACAACAATAATTTGTCTAGCCCTCAAAAATAACCAGTGCATTTGTCTCTATTGTTTTAATAATTAAGTAGTTATAGAGTGGCATGCTTTCATTCTGCACAACCAATGGATTCTAGGTTGGGCACAAGTTGTAACTTTGAACAAAATACCATAAATGCAAAATCATTTCTATGGTAATAATCTAGCCAGTCTTTCACATACACATACCATATGAATATAACCTTCTACATTCAGTATGCAGGCTGCAGCAAGCAGATCTTGAGAAGTTGATAGTATTCTGATGAGATAATAGAATTTGTAATTGATAACTAGGTTTCTCTCTCAAGCAAGACGAACACTTTACATTAAAAAAAATAATCAAGGACTATTAAGAGAAACTGATTTAGAAATAATAAGATGTCGTACATTTTAACAAGCCTTAAACAAACAAGATTCCCAATTCAATGTTAAAGCACCCAGACAGGCATATCAAGCAGGAGGCATATACACAATATGGCCAAAGAGAGTGATTTTTTTCCCCATAAAACTCAACCTTAATTGAGTAAGTCATTAATTTCTGAAGCTGATAAAGGTTTAGCTGAGGTACCTGACTGGGTAAATGAGTTTGGAATGGACATTTGCTGTGGGGACATCATACTGCTCATCATGCCACTACCAAGTGGAGCAGCAGGTCTTGGACTAGAGGCAGCCATAGACCAACCGTTGTTGACACCAGCAGTTGGTGAAGTTATACTAGACAAGGGAGGACTAGAAAAGCCAGAAGCCATGTTATTATTTGACACCATATTTGACATAGCAGACCACTGATTTCCAGCATGCATGGGATTTGGGGCATTGGAAGGCGCGCCCCAAGGGAGAGCAGGTGTACTCTGAAATGCACTGAAGGCATTGCTTGCGCTTGTAGGAGAAGTTGCTGATTTTGGTTGTGACCACGATTGAGTTGGTAATTTCATCTGCTTTAATTGACTTTCCATAAGTGTTGATGTCAAATCTTTCACTGGCGGTTTGCTGACAGTTGGGGCAGACGCTGGAAGGATTGGTGTTTGAGTCTGTAATCTCATTTGCGCTTCCTGTTGACTTGCAATTCTGTAAAGGATAAGAAAACTGTAATGTAAAAGTTTTTTTGCTTTATGTTTGATGTTTAAAGTAAGCTCTTACCTCTGCTTATCTTGTATGCTGAGTGAGCCAGAAGAGTTACTATTGTGAAGGCTAGATATTGACCCTGAAGTATTTGATTTAGGCAATTGATTGGTTGTGGAATTGTTGAGAGAAGTAAAATCATCCAGGCCCAAATTAGAAAACATTTGATCCAATTCTGTTTTGGGTTGTGGAGCAGCAATCAACTGAGAACCCATAGCCTGTGCCATGTTTGGCTGGACAGAACTAAAACAAAACATGATACAAATATACATGATTACCCTAAGCAAATACATTAATGTAAATTTAGAAAATAAAATATTTATTACTTTGTTTGTTGCTGAATTGAATTGAGTTGTTCAATTTTTGTTCTATGTTCAGACTCAACTCTTGCAACCATCTCTTTCACCAGCGTGACAAGGGCATTAAATTGAGCAAGAGTCAAACCATTCTCTATACACAGAGGCATAAGAAATGGAATGATTTTTGTTGCCATCACCTCCTTGGTGATTCCAAGCTTTTTGTGTGTAAGAGCAAGCTTGTATATTCCTTAAACAAAAGAAATGAAATTGATATACATATCGAAAACAAAATATTAATAGTTAAAATAAATTATTCAGTGTCTTTTGAATACCGAGAATTCCCATGAGAACAGCAGGTTCTCTTGAGGGTATCTGCGGTAAGAACGGAAGAACCTCATCCAGCACTAGCCATTTGTCCAGGTGCTCAAGTAACTTTCCAAGGCAGACAAGGCAATTTACACGGACCTGCAATCAAACAGAAAACGAATTTTAATACGTCTTAAAGGCAGATGTGCAGGTAGGGAGATACTCAAACAAACACTTACGGATAAATATGAAGTATTAATGCACAGCCGCTTTATTCGTGGCAGGAGTGCATTCTTCATGGCTGGATAGTCAAGCATACTTGCAAAAGTGGGAAGAACACTGAGACAAAGCTCCTGAATCTGCTGTGCATCAGACTCCAAAGCACGGTATAACATGGGAAGTACATCGCTCTTCACCTCATCAGCAGGAGTCAGTTGCAAAAGTAACTCCATCTTTTGCATAAAGATAAGGAGAACCTGGAAATAGATACATAAAAGGCTTTAGCGATCAACAAATTAAATGGCAATGACAGTAATATAGAAACATAATGTTCATGACTAAGGAGACAAAACAATAAGATGAGAAATTACCTGAATTGGTTCTTGAATTTTCATTACAGGCTTAAGACCTGGAAGAACTTTTTGACAAAATTCTTCTTTTGAACACTTTTCTGCCATAAGTAATACATTTGGCAGTACAAATGGGACCATAGTAGGGTTCACAAATTCCTTGCTAAGGCAAGGTAGTATCCTAAAATATTAATAAAAAATTATATATCTTAACTTTAAGTGGTTTGATGGTGCATACAAAGAGAATATCCTAGCACAAAATAAGAAAGTACCTATTCAAACAAACCCGATGGGGTAGTTTATTTATCACCTCTGGTAGTCCTTTGTAAAATTGAGACTTTTGCAAATTGTCCCATTGAAATAGAGAGTCCAGGTAATTCAAAGTCTTGACTCCCACATCTTCAAAGTAGCTTATCTATTAACAAAAGTAGAGAGAATATTGACAAAGATGTTATGGAAGGTTTGGGGTATAAAACAAATCATATATGCAGGTACATATGAGTAATTTACCTTAATAAACTGGTGGGCATCAGCTCTCACTTCAGGTGTGCTATTTAGCATCAATTTGACAATATCTCGGAGCCCCTCTGCTACACATAGGAGCTTGGATGCAGGTACCTGCTTCATCTACAACACCAAATTCCAAAGTAATTCATTAAAATAATATGTAATAATTGTATATATAAGTTAGATCATTAAGAAAACCAGTGCACTTCTTACAGTTTGAACATTCCTTTTGTAGGTCTGATAGTCACCGTTACAAGTATACCAAGGTTGCCCTTCATTATGAATGGCATAAATGGTCATGCCCAAGGAGAACATGTCACTTGCTGGTGAGTGAGTCAAAGTCAACCCACACTCTGGAGCCAAAAAGTCCAAGTCTGGTTGTGATGTTGGATGAGAATACTGCTCATATTCTGTAAAGGGCCAATGTGGCTGCAAGCAAAATCCAAAGGACTTAGACAAAGTATGAGTATCACATAGCAACACATTGTTACAGTTGGCCACAATAAAGGAGACGAGGGAGAGGGAAAAGATCACAACAATGAAGGTGCTGTAAATGATAGACAATTTAAAGTTTGCTTTTTGACTTTTTGACAAAGCTTTCTCAAAACTAGGATGGGCAGAAATGCTTACATCAACTTTTACATATGGTATTACAATGAGCATCGTGGTCAGGCACCTGTGACAACGATAGCTAAAAGAGCAGGGATAACATGGCGCAAGATGACACCACAAGAGAGAGATCGTTTTACCGACAGAAACTACTTCCCAAAAGGGAATGTTCCCTTATACCTAGAAAAACGTAAGAGAAGTCCTCATTCTTCTGTGGCAACAAAAATGCAGTATAAGAAAGGAATGAAGACTTCAAGAAAATCAAATCAGAGGAATCATTTAAAACGAAAAGCAAATGGAAAAGTAAGTAAGTACAAAACAAATTTTGTAATGAAAATTTCAAATAAAAATAGGTAATAAGTCAAAAATCTATTAATTTTTTAAAATATAACTTTTAGATAAAAGAAACAGCAAGAAAAGAGGAAATTCAAGTAAATTCTAACAATCAAATACAAGAAGAGAAAAAGAAAGTAGAAACGAGGACTGAACAGAAAGATGATAATGATAATGAAAACACCGATGAAGAAGAGGAGCCACAAGAAATTACTGCAAAACGTAGAAGTATTGAGAGATGGATGGATGAAAATCATTACACCTAAAGCCATCACGTAACAAAGAAATTTAAATTGAACGAGTGCCAACAACCCTAATATGAAAATATCTATAAATGTGACGGAAAAGAAAACTTACTCGTCCATCTGACTGCTCTTGGTTGAGAACGCAAAAATCAAAGCCAAATATTTTCCATGCCCCTTGATGGTTAACAACAATTGATTCCAGGCAGATGTTGCGATGTAGAAGTTTAACATCATTATGCAGGAAAGCTAATCCTTCTCCAACCTAATGAAAAACAAACACAACAAAAAAGCATTTACAGATTAAGCAATAAAAGTTACCGGAGTTAAAATCCTCTTTCATTTCAGAGGCTAACCTGAAGGAGACCATATTTTATTTCTAGGTCATAAAGTTTGAAGTTGTTAAGATATTTAGGAGGCGGGGTTGGCATATTCTCTGTTTTCCCCATAAGATTTGCTAAGCTCGCAAAAACTGGTTCAGTAGCAAATGCAAGGCTCTCCCTAAAACATACAGCAGATATAGTTTTGAGTTATAGATCAGTGGTTAAAAAAGAAATGATGTTGACATATTAACTACCTGGACTCCTCCATGGAATGTTGGACAGTAAGAATTTGAGGGTGTCTAAGTCTGGTCAACTGGGCAATACCTCTCTTGAGAGTTTCTAAAATTAAATCTCTTTCTGCTTTTGGAAATTTTTCAAGGTGTCGCTTTTCAAACACAAATATAGCAGCTTCTTGTTTGGTTGATTTCTTGTAACCTTGGTATATTTTCCACAGCAAACCTGCAATAAAAAAAAAAATCACAGTTAAAATTGTTACTTTTTGAGTAGTAGAGGAAAACAGACAGATTCGAGATATGGTAATCTTAGTTTACCTGGACCAGCGCTTGCAATATGATTGGTAACTTCATATTCCCGAGTGACGGGGTTCCCGGGGAGTACTCCAGAGAGACTTGAAACTGTACTGCTCACAGTTGAGCGGAATTTGTTTACAATATCCATGACAAACTGGAAGCAAACGATTATTAGATTTATCTCAAATCTATGAGTAAAAATGTGCTGACTATAAAATTACTGTTAAGAACATCAATTCAGAATGGCATTGCTTTAGGGTGACATTTTGAAAAAGTAAAAGATAACATAGTGAAAGAAAAGCTGGGGAGAAAAAGGTCCCAGGAGATCGTTAATAACGAAAGATAACTTATTACAGCTACTTTGAGTTTGAATTGAAGGTTACATTTCACCTGATAACTTTGACATATGCCAAAACTACTGGCACCATCACTTATGAAGTCACCGGCAAAGGAACGGAATACTTACTTTTGGACGGGAGTGTGTTTTTTCACAATCACCAATCCGAAGGCATATCAAAAACTATGGCTTTTTGATGGGACAAAACATCCAACACCAGATTACTGGGCTCGGCACTTCTGCTTCTAGTTGACAACAAGGACCTGGGGCACCGGGGAGAATAGGTGTATTCTCTGACGTCACATCATGAACGTACTGCTGCGTACTGCAGCAAAGGGGAGATATTGAACATTCCCTTCATAATTTTCAAAAGTTCAAACAAATTAATTTTATTTTCCTCCTTCATTAATTGTTTTCCCCCCCTCCCTCCCCTGCCTACCTCTCTCCTACATGGACTACTACTTTTTCATCTCTTCCTATGCCAGAAGTGTAGAAATTGCTTAGCTAGTAACTTCCCCCATCTAGCTGTAAGAATCTTGTCCAAGAATGTGGTGCCGGTGGTTGTCCTTTTTTTTTTTTTTAGGGAAGGATACTAGTCTTGTGTGACACATTAGGAATGTAATATAAGTACTACGAGTGAGAAAGTAAGTCGAGGTGTACTTGCAAAGTATTCAAATACAAACAAATACTGTCAAGAAAATTGGTCTTATTACTGTTTTTTATTCAGACTGACATGATGAAGAAATAGAACTTGATGAATAGGTTGAAAATAAAGATTCAACGTCAGATAATGTGAGTGCTGAGCCTTGCAGTTCACTTTAAGAAGGCTACTTTAGATAGATTACATGAAATTGAATGACAATGGTTTAAAACCACTCTCAGTACATATTGGTACATACAAGTACAAAGAATTGACAACTGCATAGTTAAAGTGAATTAAGTTAACGCGCACAGGTTCAGTACCACGGGCTAAAGAAAGGTGATAAATTTGATGCAACAGAAACAATGAGAAGTCAGTCACAGAGAGATGGGGACGCAATCACCCATCAACAAAGTGGATTACTACAATTGCACAACCTCATAAGTGGAACAAGAAAAATTAACAAAGAAAAAAAATAATACTTTTAACACATGATGACACTGGAGGCGAACACTTTGAAATCCAATAAAAGCCACTTTCATTCAACATCCACCCTACTTCATGTAAACAAAAATCAACAATATCTAATTAATTATTTCCCTTTAAGTCAGTCTTCCAACTGAGTGTGCAGTCCAATGAAATTAGGTAATTGATTGATTTTTAATGCTATGCTGAGTTGGTCATAAAAAAAAAGAAATGAATATTTATCTGAAAAGACGAAACACTGTATCAATGATACTTTGAGAAAGTCTTTCATATTAATAATAATAGAACCTTTTAATTTCATGTTAACAATAACATGGGATTGTTTGGAAGATTGTTAAAAAGATTATGCTACAAAAAAAAATTTGTTTAGACCAGGACTAAGACTAAGAGAAATACACAAGTACATACTAAGAAATAATTTTTGAAATTCAAGTTAAATGTTCAGCAAAACCAATAACTCAGCAAAGCAATAAGTAAAATTGGGCTAACAGATTTCCATTTTAAATCTAACAGTTCAATCACATTTTATTGTACATCACTGATGGTTTCCTTTCTGAGAAGAAGTTCCTAAGAATTACCACCTGAAAAATGGCAATAGTGCAAATAGCCACAGTTTCTAGTAGTGACCACCACAGTACTCTTTCATTCAGATCTTCAGCTCTCTTGCGTCCCTGTGCTTCTTGAAGTCGATGATGTGTCTGATAATCTAAGACTTTCTTCAGGCTCTCATGGACTTCCGTGATAGACGACTCCATCTGGTCAATAGAAAAATTCCAAGTAAAATTGTTGATGTTAATGAGATTCTAATCAGCATATAGAGAACCTACGGAAGTACATACCTGCGTCATCACAGTAGCGTGATCACCCATCCCAGGAAGCAATGGCCTTTCATCTCCAACTTGGAAATCGACATAAACTAACTTGTGGGAGAATGTGGAGAATTCGTTGGAGAAACAAGCAGCATAAACTCCTTCAACCTCCGCAGTAAATCTATGGCTGTCATACTGCTGTTTCACTTGTCTGTAGATTACCTCTTTGGTGGGGGATTCTAAAGTAACATCGACATCATATTGCCCACCAGTCACCACCTGCGGCGAAAGAAAAAGAATAAAAAATAATCAAAATAATTACCATCATATGTCAACATTTGGAGACACAAAACAGTAAGCTGTGGCAAAGGAAATTTCAACACTTCCTAGTAAATTAAAAATACGGTGGGGATTCATATAATAATGAAAGGAATGAATAAATGAATGGGACAATTTTAAGCACAGTCAGGATACAACATAGTATGAAGAATACTGACAGATGACTTTAAAATAGTTGAGGTTATGTTTATTAGTTTTAATGCTTTACAAAATTTATGGTTAAAAGTGAAATAGAGCAATCTGAGATAGGGTCAGTATTTCATTGGCAGTTAAATACACACCTGAAACTCTAAAGTAGCAGAAACATTCTTTGCAATTTCTTCATAAAAACACTCTCTTGCGTTGTCCGGCAATTCGAAGGTTAATTCTACGGCTCCAGAGGAAATGACGGAGCATACTATTACTACGAAAAATACAAAGAGCTTATAACACGACATTTTCATTGTCTAAAATTATCTAAATCTCTCGACTCTCAACAAATTATGTACACGGCCGCTTTTACTGCTCAAAATCAAAACAACTTTGGTAGCTCATCGGTGGGCAGCCATATTTTACGTGGCCGGAAACGGAAGTGGCCACGTCTGTCAAACAACGTCAACAAGAATGTCGTCTGCTAGCGCCAAGCCAGGCCCCGCGAGTACGTCTAATCCTCCCTCTTCGCTCGGGGCGGGCCGTTGTCGTACAGGTGACCGACGTCGGCCGGCGCACGAGCAGGAGACGGTCCTGAGCGCGAAGGCCCTGCAGCACGCGGGCGGCCAGCGGGGCGCCACGTCCACAAACACTTCGGGGCTCAAGGCGCGCGCGCGGCCCGGGCGCGGGCGGCAGGGAATGCAGGGGGGAATGCAGCTCCGCGGGCGTGCGCGCGTCCTCGTGACACGGCGGCCGCAGTGTCAGCCGGCCGCGGGCACGCCTCTACGATAAGGCCACCTGCTCGACCGTGACCAGCGGCCCCGACCAGGTACGCGGGGCTGGTCTTCCCTCTGGCGGGGACCGCCCGGCAACGAGCTGCCGCGTCGCGTTCGATGTGGTGGACCCGAGGCCCTTCTCCCCCCTGTAGGCCCGCGGTGGTATGACCTCGGCGACGACGCGCTCCACGGCGGAGGAGCTGTGGACGTGCCTGGCCGGCGAGGACGCCGACGAGGCCGTGTTCTCCGTCCTCAACCTGGACCATGACCGCTTCCTCACGGACCTCGCGCTCCACCCGGGCGTCGTCGTCGCGGGGGAGGCCGGGGCCGGGGGTGACGGCGACGCCGCCCGGGAGCGGGTAGGGTCGGCGCCGGGGCCCGGAGCCGCCCGGGGCCGCGCCGAGCACCGGAAGGCCCGCGCGCGGCTGCGCGCGGCGGACGACGTCAAGATGGGCGGCTGCTGCCAGCTGCTGCGCGCCAACATCCAGGGCCTGCGGCGGTACAGGGGTGCGGGCTGCGAGGGCCGCGCGGGCCTCCCCGCCGAGCAGTGGGCGGCGCGCGTGCTGCAGTCCGCCTGGCGTGCGCACGTGTTCCGCCACGTGTTCCTGCACCTGCGCGTCGTGGTCGCGCACCTGTCCGCGTCGAGCGCCAGGGCCGCGCTGCAGAGCGTCAACCCCCGGGAGGCGCTGCTCGCGGACGCGGCCAGCGACATCGTGGTCCGGTTCAGGTACTTGCTCACTCCGCCTGTAGCATGCGCTGGCCTGTCGACACCCTGCTGACGGCGTGCCTGCAGGCTGGCCGCGGACACCAACACGCCCCTGCCCGTCGTGGTGTACAAGGTGTTCACCCGGCGGCCCGTCGTGGACGTCTGCCGGGGCTGCTGCGGCCGCCTCGTGCTGTGCAGCTCCGCGGCCCGCGCGGCCGCAGGCGAGGCCCTCGGCGTCGTGAGGGTCGCCACGGCCCCCGCCGGCGGCGCGCCCCGGCCCTGCTGCCGGCCGCGCTCCGTGTGCTGCCTGCTGTTCTCCAGCTACAAGCGCGTCGAGAACAACCCCTGGCGGCCGTGCCGCGTCGGCCTGTTCGACCCCGAGCGCTGCCCGGCCCGCGGCACCGGCCTGGCCAGGATCCGGGGCAGGTCCAGGGCGCAGGTCCAGCGCGGCGGCGTCGTCCGGACTTCCCCGCCGGCCAGGTCGAGGCCCGCCGCCGCGGCGACCAAGAGGAAGCTCTCCCCGCAGGAGAAGGAGCGCATGAGCAAGCTCAGCCTGCTGCGGCGGCTGTACGGCTACGAGCGTGCGGAAGGTAAGTCGCTCCCTCGTGCTGCTCGAGGCCATCGCCCTCCTGAACCTGGCCACGCCCGCTCACGCTAACCTCCCACCCCCAGAGACACCGTGTCCGCCCCCACCGCCATCGCTCAGCTCCAGGGCACCCCCCGTCACCCCGGAGGACGACGCCATCCTCCCGCCGTCAGCCCGCGACGGGCGCCCCCGTCACCACCTCATCCGCGAGGTCACCGACGACCCCGTGGAAGCACCGATGCCTCGCGGGCGCTGCCTAGCCCCCTCCTCCAGTGACTCGTACTACGACAGTCTGTTGGCGGCGTGGGGCATGTGAACACACACTCGCTTTGCCCCTACCCGCCAGACCAAATGCCAGCTGGACACCCCTTCAAAAACGCCCCCACACCCCGTCCCCCGCACCCCCGTGTCAACCCAAGAAATAATAAAATTACTGACCTATTTTATTGATTTATATTTTTGTATATTTGAGTTGCGCCCCTACACTCACCCGCACGGAATTTACGCCGCTCTTTTAAAATTCGTAGAATACCTTTCAATGGAAACTAAAATTACATACAGTAACTAGCAGCGCAGCCAGCTGAAAACAACTGCTAGTAGTAGTGCGTTCGAAACATTTTCGGACCATTTCCTCAAGTTGTCACCGACAGCGCTCCAATCGCCAGCTGCTCCAGTAGCCAGGCAGCCACCGTCCACGCCGATCTCAGACATCCCCAGCCTGCCCCAACCGGTCGTCGTCGAGGAGGGGCGAGCGAGAGCCGTGTGTTTATTTCGTGTTCAATACGCTGTTCTTATTTCTGCCTCATCTGAAGAGAGCCCCGCACGCCCCCACCATACACCAAAGGAGAAGTGTTTTTATTTGACTGAAATCGTGTGGATTAGGAAAAGTTTTAGTGAAACCACGCCGCCCCAGAACAGTTGTCGGGTAAGTCTCAACGTTTCTTACGTCCGAATCAAGTTGATTCGGGCGAATTTTTATACAGTCCCCAAGACTGTCTCTATTTTTCCTCTGGGATGTGGGTGTACCAAACTCTTGTGCAAATGTATCTGCGAGAGGGGGGGGGGGACTGCAGCGTGTTGTCTGTCTCACATGCGTGAAAGATGCACAGATAGATGCATGGACTATTCCTCATGTGACGAGACCTTCTTTCTCGTAACTTGCTCAGTGGCCAGCTTCTTGCTCGTAGGTACGCCTGTAAATGTTATTGATTGTGCGTTTGACGCGGCCAACAGCCCTGCCTCGGTGCAAATGTCATTATTGCCAATTGAGTTCTCTTTATGAGAGGGGGCACGCTGAAATCTGGGCATGAATGAACTACGTCGAACCAAATGTTTACTTTGCTAAGTTTGATTTTTTGTAAAAACAAACATTTAAAAAGACGGCGTGGGACTGACATCCGCCTGTTTCTCGTTCTCTCTGGGTGTAGCTCCGCTCCCCCCTGTGATGTGGGGAAAGCAGGCGTCTACCGATGAGTTGATATCGAGACCGCGCGCCCGCACCAGGAACAGGGCGGACGACCTCGACGATGAGCTGCCCTCCAGGTACACACCCTCCCCGTGAGTACCGCTCCAGAAGGTGTCCAAGGTGCTCGTTGGCGCCGATCACTTCTTTGCCGGTCGTGTTAACACTTCTGTGCGTTTAGGTCGACGGGGCTGTCGACGGCGATGCAGGACTTGTGGAACGACCTCCCCGAGCACGTCAAGAGGGACCCGACTCTTGCGCAGCTGAAGGCAGGCTTGGTGTCTGGAGCGTCAAGGTCTTTATGCAAGCCAAAACAAATTCTAAGACTTCCGTCCGGTCTGTCAGCCGTGACGGTTGTCCAGGACTTTTGTCCCACTCCGTAACCCGACTGTCGCCTCGTGCGACATCAACCGTAACCTGTAAATCGCCGCCTCGTGTGGCGTTTTACCGTATCTGTATTCCATCGGTGGTTATTCCTGCCATCGTTGGCTTCGCCGAACATCCTGCGCCAAACATACGCCAGTCCTGGCGTCGGCAGTTAAAAAGGAGGAAAAAAAAAAAAAAAAAAAAA